CTCCAATTCATTCCAATCGATCATTGGAAGAGAAGACTTTGAAAATCCATTTTCAACATGATTCCAAAGCTCAAAATCCATGGAAATAAGGAAGATCCTCATTTGGGTGTTCTAGTAGGTGTAGTCCATCCCATTAAACATGGGTGGACGTGTAATAGAGTGGCCCTCTTGGTTTTCGGCGTATGCCATCTCTCTTGAGTTTTAATCCGATTGAGAGTTAACTCTACTCTGATACCAATTGTTATGATCAAGAGCACTAAGAGGGGGGGGGGGGTGAATTAGTGCAACGAAAAACTTTCGATGATTTAAAACGACGTAATTACGATAAAAACACTTTTGATGAAAAACCATTTCGGAAAGTTCTTCAACTTAAGATTAAGCGAAGTACAGTTGAAGAAAAGCAATGGAGGCAGTTTGTAGTTAAGATAGAGAGCAGAATGTAAATGCAAACTGAGATTTAGAGTGGTTCAGTCAATCTTAACCTACATTCACTTTTGGCTTCCTCCTCCGATGAGGTCACCGACGTCCACTAGAGGCCTTCCTTCGATAGGCGAAGGCCAACCACTCTTTTACAGCTTTACTCCTTTTGACGGGCTTAGGAGACAACCCTTACAGATTTTCACTCCTCTCTTGAATGATCAAAAATTAAATGAAAAGAGGGAGAAGAACTTTTGGCCTTTTACAACACTTTTGAGCTCTCAAATTCTCAGAATAAGATCAAGATTTTGGTGCCCTTTCATGCAGGAAAGGGTGGGGTTTATATAGGCCCCAACTGGTTTGAATTTGGAGCTCAAAAGTGTCTATTCCCAGATTTCCGGGGTCCAAATGGTACCACCGCCATAACTAGGCGGTACTACCGCCTGTCATTTGTCATTGAGTGGTATTACCACTCAGTTTGGGTGGTACTACCACTTGACATCGCTCGGAGACCGAGCTCAGGTGGTACCATCGCTTGACAGGGGCGGTACTATCGTTGGCAGTAATAACTGTCGGCGGTACCACCGCCTAACAGGGGCGGTACTACCGCCTAGAATTCCTAGGAGACCAAGTCTCCTGGGCGGTGCCACCGCCTAGCAGGAATTCTGGGTCCGAATGGACTGATCTATTCGGCCCAATTTGGGTCTGCCAAGGGCCCAATTGGCCCCAGATTAAGTTAATGGGATCACCTCCCAATCCTAACTTAATCTACATGCTAACTACGATAATTAAGACATCAATATCGCAGATCGTGTTCTGGTGCGTCAATCGCTTCTTCCGACGAGCTTCTGGCGAACATCCGACGAACCCTCGACGATGCTCCGACGAACTTCCGACAAACTCTTGGACTTGCGACGATCCACTTGGAGAGTTCTGACAAGCTTCTTTGGCAAGCTCCTGGACTTCTCAGATTTGTTCCCGCAGAACCTCCGACGACCGCCCAGACTTCCGTCGAACTCTCGAACCCCCAACGTGATCATGTTCTTGACTCCGGCGCAACTCCTGCTGCATATCTTACTTCCATCGTAGTTAATCCTACACACTTATCTCAACATATGGATTAGATAACAAATGATAATTTACTTCATAATCAAAATCCAAGATTCAACAATACTATCAGTCTGGGCGGTGGTACCGCCTAGTGGCCCAATGCCAAGCGGTGGTACCGCTAGACTGGGTAGTGGTACCGCCCAACGCAGTGTTAGTGTCAGACTGACACTAGCGGTGGTACCACCCAGCTGTGCCCGGGAAACCCGGGATGAGATATTTTTAGGCTCTATGTTTGAATCAACTTGAAGCCTATAAATACCCCTCTCATCCTTGGTTAAAAGACAAGCACAGAGAGTTTAAAAGTGAAGAAATTTTGTTGAAATCACTTGAGAAATCCCTCCTCTAGCTTAAACTTAGATTTCTATTTAGAGAGGAGAGTGAGTGCTTGTAAGGGTTGTCTCCTAAACCCGGTAAAAGGAGAAGAGGGGTGTAAGAAGGAGGTTGATCTTTGCCTATTAAAGGAAGATCGATAATGGATGTCGGTGGCCTCGACGGAGGAAGAATCTGTGAAGTGGATGTAGGTCTTGACGACCGAACCACTCTAAAATCTGGTTTGTGTTTCCTTCTTGCAATTTACATTAATTGCAAACTGCCTTCAGTACTTTTACGAACACGCTTTCAAGTTAAGTTTCTGAAATCGATTTTCAACGTACGAAGAAATTTTTGTAACCGACATGATTTTGCAGCTGTAATAATTCACCCCACCCCCCCTCCCTCTTAGTGCCAACCCCGTTGCTAACCAGATCTCGGTACGAGATGTGTTCAATGGGAGAGGCGGGGGCCTTGAGAGCAGCAGCTCGTGTCGGTCGAGCCTCCGGCGGGGTTGCACCGGGGTTGTTGAGGTCATTCCTCAGGACTATTCTGCCCTTGGCCTCTTTCCTTCCATGCGCTTTCCCGCCATCAGAGCTTCGGTAGCGATGTACTGGTTGGCGTGCTAGAGCATCTCGGGGATGGTCAGTGGCAGCTTCTTGGTCAGTGACTAGAAGAACCTTGAAGGCTTCAAACCCATCAGAAATGCCTGCATGATTAAAGAAGGATGAGCATTTGGGAATCCCCGGATTTCAGTGGTGAAACATGCCACGAACTGAGAGAGCGACTCATCTTCGCGTTGGGATAATGTGAGCAAGGTGGCCATGGAAGGCCTGGGTCGCACGCTGGTTAGGAAATTCTGCTCGAACTCCCTTGCAAGATGGTCGAATGACGAGACTGAGGACGGGCATAGCCGGCTGAACCATGCTCGTGCCAGTCCCCTGAAGGTGGTCGGGAATGCCCAACACATCAGGGCACCGGAGGTGCCATAGAGGGCCATCTGAGCCTAAAACGCGGCAACGTGTTCTATGGGGTCGGAGCCGCCATCGTACGTTTCTAATGTCGGTAGCCTGAAGTTGAGGGGTACAGATTGTCTTGTATTTCCTGAGTAAATGGGGATCTGCCCGAGCTGCCTTCGCCCATCTCGCCCCACGACTTCTGGAACTCGCACTGGAACTTATCCAGGCATTGGTTGACCTGGGATAGTTGGATCCTAAACAAGTCATCCATCGAGTCGGACGATATGGTATTAGGCTTGGAGTGGGGCGGAGTGATCCGACAGGGTGCGGGTATGCTCCGCTTAGGCAAGCCTCTCGGGTTCATCGTTTGCTCTGGGCTTCTCCTGTCCCGACTTGCTCCCTGCTCGGCCTTTGCCATGTTGGATTGGTTGAGGGAGCTGCTAGCTGCACGATCTGGGGAATAAGTGGGATGATCATCTGCATCATCCCCGCCATTACTTGTACTTGCTTGGCCAGGCCAAGGAATGCCTTGGGCGAAACGATCGAGGGTCCCGTGGTAAGTCCGAGGGGTGACAACCCTAGGTCGTTGAACAAGCGCTAGTAGCGATTTGGCGTCGAGGCCGGGATCCCCCTATCTTGGAGGACGGGGAGGGGCTGATCTTCGGGCCCGACAGAGGGGTGACCGACCAGTGGTTCTCCCTCGGGGAGAGCTCCTGGGGGATGTTCCTGCGACATGGCCCTCCTTCTAGTACCAAAAATATTGGTGAATTGATACGCCATGGCTGATGAGTCAGCACGGTCTGGTCCACGGGTCGATGTCGAGAGTCTTCGGTTGACTGAGCTAATTGCCAAGGTCGGTCTAGCCCTCGAAAATGGGGTGTTGACATCGGAATGTTGATCGGCGTCTCTCGGTCCGGACGTCGATTGGCGGCTAGTCGTCGGGATGCTAGTTGACGACCCCAAGGTCGGAATGCTCGTGGCTCGATGGCAGCTGCTTTCCTGCAAGGATAGCCCTCGTCGGGTGATTGTCGACTTTGGCCCCTCTGACAAGCAAGTCAGTAGTGGTTTGATTTGTTTTTACCTCCCCTTGGGTCGGATGCCGATCATGAGCTTTTATACTACTGTACGAGGGTCGATCGTATACGGGTTTGGCGTGGCGGCTGATCCTCGAGAGGTGAGATGATACCATTGTGCGGCCATCGTCTCGAGACATGCGGAACAACACCATGCAGGCCCGTCCTGAGCTTTCCGGGATGGGACGTACCGAGCACGTCTTGGTACGGGTTTTGGCTCAGTGTGTGAGGGTGCTCCTCTTGCTGACTTGACTATAGCGTGACATGACATTGATCATGACATAACCTGAACCCAAAATATACCTTATCAAAAAGTATGTCTACCATATGGATCTCTCAAGTTGGATTTTCTTGACTTGAAACGTTATGACTTATGCTTTAAATTTTTTAACCCTAACCTAAATTTCTTATAAAACTTATGGCAGGGAGTTATCCGACAATCCCAAGTTTGTACATCCATCCGAGTGTGATTGCTTGAGAGAGACAAGTCCATGGAATCTTCCCGTGAATAGTTCACGGCGCTTCGACCTTCTTCACGCGTGTTCCCGCGCCTTAAAGTTCGTGCTCGCTGCTTCATGATCCGTGCGACATCTCCTCGCGACAAGCTTCATGTCGTGAGGCTGAAGCACGCGCTAATCGCACGCACATCTTGGTTCACTAGACGGTGGAATCGGCTTATCGTATCGCGTGTTACCATGCATCGAGTCAGGGAACCAGAAAAGAAGGCACTCGTATTCGTGAAGTGGGCCCATAATCGGTAGCCAATGGGAGGGGATCTTTGTGTGCTTGGTCGATCGGCCGAAACACCGGAGCTCCAGCCGTCGGCATCGCACCTGGGGCCTCCGCAGGTCAGACTCGACGTACGACGCGCCGACGTCGGACAAATGCGTCACCGCTTCCCACTGGCCCGCTATACTCCGTCTCATGACGGGAGGATAATGTACAGACAAAGAAGGCGAAAATACGTCGACCAAATTCCACCATGCGGTAGGCAGAGTCCCGTGATCACTTCCCCCAAAAAAAACGCTCCGGAGGCCCACGTTATACTCACCCGATAACCCGTCGGAGAGAGAGCTTCCCAACCCTTAACAGCGTCGCATAGCCGTGTACTGATCAACCGAAGAGACGGATGGGACCCACCGGCGGGCGATCTGATGCTTCTCAGGTACATGACCGGGTACGTCTTAGGTAGCGGGGATCCCTTGAATTATGGCTGTACTCTTTGAACGCGCGTCCAAAGGAGGAAGGAGACGTGAAGGGAAGCGACGAGTAAAATTATGAAGTTAGGAAGAGGAGGTTTTCTCGGCCAAACTCGCCGGCGAACTGAAAGAAGAGTTGAGGATGGTTTTCGTGCACGCGTAACGGTGACAGCGAGGAACCAACAACAGCTGAGAACGGCGCTCTGCCACCACAGCTGTTCATCTTCATCCAAATCGATTCTTCTTGGAACATAGCATTAGCTTTCTCAAAGATTAGCCTTTAACTAACACAATCGCAGCACAAAAAGTTCAACAAGGAAAAGATCTTTTCTCCTTTCCTTCACTCCTCTCTTTGATTCATATGATTCTGCTATGCGATGCGTCGTTGACTGATGACCCAAATCGAGTTCGCATAAGCAACAACAAAAAAGGGGGAAAATGATATAAATCGGATTCGACTTATCTTCTCTTACGAAATTAACTTCAAAGATAGATTTTCGATAGTTGCAGCATCGCTTCTGAAGAATTCATCTCGAATGGCCTCCGCGTCTTTGAGCTACGAGAGTGATCAGTTTGGACGAAAGGAATCACTTTGATGCGAATTCCGTTGCGACGGACAGCGCCGAGTGGTCTGGCTCCTCTTCCAATGGAGCTGGGACGTTGAGGTCGATGAAGTCATCGTTAATGGCCAAGGCAGAGAGCTGCGGCGGCGGAAGGAGAGCGGGGACTTTTGTGGCGACGTCGATGGCGGAGGAAAGGTGGGATCTTTTATGACCGCCAAGAGCCTGGCCGGAGGAGAAGACCCTGTAACAATAAGGGCAATCGAAGAGCATGGGCTCACGATCAGCAGCATCGGCATCGGCATCGGCGGTAGTAATGCATTCTAGCCCCACCCTCTTGTGACTCGCGCGGTGGCCGCCGAGAGCTTGATACGATCGGAAGAACTTGCGGCACGTGCTGCACTGGTACCTTGTCTTCTTCCGCCGCGATCTGGTGGCGACCGGCGGGTCCTTCTTTTCCACCACCTCGTCATCGTAATAGATCGCCTCCACTTGGTCACCATTGGCCTCGACGCAGCCATTGGATTGGTGGCCCCTTGCTTCGGATTTGGGCCTGGCGTCGCGGGAGAGAAGCATGAGGCAGCGGGCGACGTCCTCCTCGGTGGAGGTGTTAGAGATGGAACTGACCGGCCTAGCGTCAGCAAAGGCATCTTCTTGGAGGCGAGGACGGCCAAACCGCCGTCGGAAGGACGACTCCGCGTCGCTCTCGCCATCCTGGACAACAGAGTAAGATCCGCCCGCGACGCCCTCGGCCGCAGCTCCGGGGGTGGAGAACTCGGAGTCCGCAAGGCGGAAGCTTTTCCTGGGATTCTCCCGCAGTCTATACGCCACTGCTACCGCCGGCCCATCCTCGGCCGCCACCGGGAAGGAAGACGAGGAGGCGGACGGCGAGGGGAAGGCCTGCCGAGCCATCTTAGAAGCAGAGGTCACGTGAGACCGCATGTGGTCGGCGAGGGCACGGCCACCGGAGAAGCGGCGGCGGCAGAACCTGCATCTGTGCCTCACCATGGCCTCAAAGATTGTCTCTTTAGATCCTCCGCAGCATCATGCTTGTTCTCTCAACTGTTCCATCGCTTCACTCTGTCTTCTCCTCTCCTCTTCAAGAGCTGTCATGCGGGAAAAACTCAGGTGAGAAGAGTAGTGTTGGAAAAACTGTTAAAGCAATATTCCCTCTTTGTGAATTAAAATGGGTTCTTCGTTAAAATACAACTTGATATCCAAATGAAAATATAGACCAAATCTTTTTAACATGAAAAACTCAATGTGGGAAAAACCACAGGACCGTAGTCCACCTCAAACTTCTACTATTAATAATAATGATAACAGGTTTACAATAGGTCTTCTCTAGAATAACTAGAGGATCAGAATAACATCAAGAACATAGATCTTGGCTCTAGCATATCATCGGATGGATCTCCTCAAAAGAGAATTATAGGTCTCACAAAGTGGATATCGCAGGAAAGTACCTTAGAGAGGGTAAACTGTAGATCAACATCGTTAGGATTGTAGAGTTTGCTGCAATGATTCTTCACATAAAATTTGGGCCAAAACTGATAACGTTTGGCCATAAATCGTCAAGTAGAAAATTCAGAAACCTAATCTTTCTCTCTCTCTATTTCTCTCTCCTATGCACGCCGCACGCTACAATCTGATCTATTTTTCTCACCTTCTCTCTTCTCTTTTTAATTTCTTTCATTTGCTGATTTGGGCTCAATAGGCTGTTGAATCTCGTATTTTGATGATGAAACTCCTTGATATATGTTTATGATTTAATCTGCGTTTTGAGTGACGCAGGGTGCTTCGATCGGGATGAGACAATTAAAGCAGGAACATCATGTTGTGCCGGAGGAACATGTCAGAAGATTGGACGTCGGGCCGGTGGATCGGTCGACGTATCGACAGAAGGCTTCGGGCAGTGGACTCGGGCATCGGGCCAAGAAGAGCGGTTATTGTGTCAAGGATATCGGAGTTACGGAGTCAACTGGCCGATTGGGCAGTAGGCCGCAGGAGAGGACGATGCGCCGAAGAATCAGACGAAGCGTCGAGGGACCAATGACATGCCGGACAACTTGGTTAATTGCATAGGATTAATTGTCTCGATCGAAGTTTTGTTTTAATTGTGCAGGATTAACTATGATAACGATGAAGACATAAAGCGAAACAAAGTGTTGGAGTCAAGCGCGAAGGATTTGTTGCGAGTTCGAGAGTTCGACGGAAGTCCGAAGGTTCATCGGGAATGCTACCGGAACTAGCCGAGAATGAGTTGGGAGCTTGCCGAAGGGTTTTTCGGAAGCTCGCCGGAAGGTTCGTTGGGAGTTCGCGGATCTCGCCGAGAAAGATCGGAGCTTGCCGAAGAAGCTCGTTGGAACTCGCTAAGAACAAATCGTGAAGTCTAGGAGCTTGCCGGGAGTCCGCAGAATGGTTTCCGAGAGTTCATCGGAAGATCGCC